TGAGGCCTTATTCCATCAGGATGTGACAACATACTGTAATCAACTCCGTGATAGGATATGTCGTAAGCAGACAAGCAATTGTAAGATTAAGGTGAAATGCATCTTGCTTCCTCAAGAAGCAGATTGACACTATTGAAAAGAGGTATCCTTTGGAGTGTGGCCTATTTCCTATATAAGTAAATGCTGTAGAAACGCTTGCTTTTCACAAGATCTGGATCCTGGAGCTGGCTCTTTAACATCCGATTCTTTGGGTTTGATTCAGCCAATGGCTTGCTACATTGGCTGTCCATCCTGGGAGCCATCATCGGCCTGCTGTCTAATCGACTGACCTTGGATCCATCCACATTTACAGTTACAGGTCTGACCTACTGATTGTAGATGCATTTGCCTCTGTGGCCTGTGGTCTTTCTGGAAGTCTCGGGTTCCTCGGCTCCTGAAGCTACGAGAGTCCAAAGTCTACAGGCTGGCATCGGACCCATAGACATGCCATTGCACTGGTCTTTCTTGCTTGCACAGTGGTGGGAGCCATTTTCCTGTAATAAACGTATTTCTATAGATCCATATATAAGCACCACTGGTTTCGTTTCTCTACTGGATGCAGCCCAGCACAAGGGCAATTTTGAATTATTGCAAACAGCTTTTTAATCAGAGGAGGAACAAAATAGTCTCTAATTGCCTAGAACTTCACCAGCACCCACGTCAGTAATGGGCCACCAGCAACCCTACCCAGCCAAATCCACAACACCTATTGTTCCACCTACTGGTGGGCCACCACCATCTCCTGCACCGTGACCTCAGTAACAGACAGTGACGGACATGCGCCCAGCCTGAGCTCTCAGACCCGACACCTGAAGAGCTAGGTAGCTCTTAACTACCGCTGCGGACCACTCTGAATGGGATCACAATGGGAGATCCTGCCGGAAGAGAGTGGAAGGAAAATATGGAGCGAAACTCAAAATCAGACAAGACCTAACTTATTGGTCTGACAAAGGGCGGGGGAACCCCGCAGACTGACCCTCAGATGATCTTCAGACTTGGAATTGACTCACCCACATGAGCAGACTTTCAGTGAAATGATAAACAGACTACTTGGTGACCAATACCAGGGAGGTACACCTTCCTTAGAATAGGTAACCGCGGGAGGTCAAAGAGGTGGCATGTGTCCAGGGATCCAGCCTAGGAGACAGGCAGGGGTAGACAGGAAGAAAGGGAAGCATTAAGCACCTAGAGGAAGTGGGCAAAATGCTGTTACCTTGTGAGGACTGCAATTCATGTCACAACACAACATGTTTATGAATTATTAAATGGAAAACATTTTGTTCTGTAAATTTTGACTCTAATCACTTTTTCTTAATGAAAAGATAAAAAGGCAGGGGAAAGAGCCATAAAAATATACTTACAGGGTGATAAAACTCTGCATACTATTTTTGTGGGAATAAACCTGAGGGCTTAGTACCAGCTTTGAGGGCTTATTAGCTATAATTCCAAGAAAGAGAAGCAAGAGGCATGGGTGGGGAGTAAGACTGACAGAATAATAATGATATAACGGGCAAAGAAGTAGGATGAAAGCCAGAAGACTCATCGGCACCCACGAGAGGGAGGCCCCTGTTCCCTTAGGCTAACTGCTTGTGGAAAAGAGTCCACGTGTGGTTTGAACTGTTCTCTTGGGGATGGAAAGTGTACCACAGCTTGCCGGCTCCCCTCGCCCCGCTAACAGGGCAGCCTGGTCTGTTTTATAGCAACTAAGGCAAAATCATTAGCATCTTGACCAGCGTGGAGATTAAATGTTTCATTGCCTGCCTAGCAAGATCCCTTTACTAAAAAGAACCACCGGTATTTATTGGTAATTCTTTGGGAAATGAGAAGTCGTAGAGGGAAGAGTGTCTTAGGCTAGGCTCACTAGAGAAGCAAACCAATGAGGTTTATATATATTGTGTTAGGCTGTGTTGACTAAAGAAACAAATCCAGTGAAATTCAAATATGTGTATGCGAGAGCTTTACATCAAGCAGTCATTATATATCAAGGAAACATTCCAGCACAGTACAAATCAAGTCCTTAAGTTTGATACTGGTCCATAAGTCCCTCTTCAGACTCATGAAGCTACATGCAAGGGTGCAGAATGCAGGAAGGTCCCAGGCTGGTGAATTAAAAGTCTTGTGGATCCAATGGCGGTGAGTGCATCTCCAGGACTCATGCAGGCCAGCAGGAGGGTGCAGGAGGGAGGGAGGGAGAGAGGAGGGAGTGAGAGAGAGAGAGAGACAGAGGGAGAGGAGAGGAGAGGAGAGAAGAGAAGAGAGAAGCTGCCTCCAGGGAGAAAGAGGAAGAGGCTGGCCTTGAAAAGCCATTTATCTACATAGCCCTCCAATCAAGTTGCAACCTGAGTGGCAGGCTAAACTCCACCCACATGTTCCTATGGGAACCATGTTGCCACAAAAAAAAACCTGTCGTGTGTGTTGATTGTGGTTTAGGTGCCATTGAATTATTTTTGACTCATAACTATCCTACATACAGCCAGAAAAATCACTGCCCTGCCCTGCCCCATCCTTACAATTGTTAGCTTTGAGTCCATTGTTGCAACCACTGTGTCAATCCATCTCATTGAGGGTCTTACACCTCTGTAGAGGTTTATAGCAAGGGAATGGTTTTCATAGTTGGGGAAGCAGGCCAAGTTCCCTGGGTCAGATGGTCAGATCAAAAGAGACCGACCTGACACGCGGATCGCAGCCAAATGCAGGAGGTACAATTGACTTGCTATGCAGGACTGGCCAATAAAACCTAGAACCACAAGGCTCAGTGAGCATCCTAGTGTCCTAAGAGAGGTGACGTGCCTAATCTGAGACACAGCAGTTCCGTGGCGGACCTTTCTTGGGCATCTCTTCTTCCTAATGATGAGATTGCTGTATTATTCCCTTGGGATGGCAAGACGTTGTCTCTCTTGATTTGGACATGTCATCAGAGGTCAGTGGAAA